AACTTAGGAATGATTTATCTCACGTTACATTGCTTGCAGCGCTTCGCAAATTGTTTCAACCGACAGCTGAGAGTTTTCTATTCGACCTGGATATTTGGATCGTTGGATTTGAGCGAGATTTGACTGAGTTACGATCTTTTGAAGTTTTGCATTTATGCCAGATCGATCATGCGCCCTACCAAAAATGCCCAGAAACGTTGCTCGTTTGGAACATTTGGGGGGTTTTCGGGCAACGGGAAACCCCCTGCGCACGCGCCTGGGACAGGTACGGTCGAGGGTAATACGACACCGTCTACCGCCTTGATGACGGCAAAAATGAAAAGGGATGTTATAAATTTTTCATTCTCCTATTTTTTCAGGGCATTACCTGGGATTCGAACCCGCACTATCGCCCCACATGCATTCCCCCATACACTTCGCATTCATACTCATTCTTCCAAGTTGCTTCACGTTATGATCTTGCGTTTGAAAGCCCTATTTGAATATTGCGGCCAGCTGTATGTGGCCAGATGTGTTTGATGGCACGGTACGGTACGGGACAGATACGGGATAGCACCAGGCGTGACACAAACACACAAACAAACACCAAATTAAAAGCTGTGTGGACCCTGGCTAGCGCCAGACGTTACTTAAGTAACGTCTTCTGCATCGCTACGGGAATAATAATAATTACTGAGCAACCATTACAGAGCAACAATTATGCAATTGTTACTGAGCAACCATCACTAGGGAAATATTACTAAGCAATTGTTACTGAGCAACCATTACGAAGCAATTGTTACTAAGCAACCATCACTAAGCAACTTTTACTAAGGCCAAAACAAAAAAATAGGCTTGTTTCCGGTCGGCAACCCCTCAAAAAGGAGACTCGGTCGGCCGGAATGAAACTTTTTTTGGATACTTTTTTTGGTTCCTCAATCGTTGTGGTATTGATGGACAAGAGCACGTACATATGTACATTGTACAAATATCATGGCAAGGATCAATGTCAAAGTTGACTGACTCACTGTTCTTGGACAGCATGTGGTGTATTCCTGTTTTCGTACATCCTGAGAAATCAAGCAAACAGTTCGAGTCCTTCCAGCTCCGTTATTCTAGCTCGTATCGACCCCGGAGTTTTTCGAGCCGACAGCTGAGAATCTCTGCTACCTTGTAGGTGTTTCGATTGTGAACTTCGTTTGAGATTTGACTGAATTATGACTCGTTGAGTGCACTTGCACACATGGCATTGCCACCGTTGGTATACATTTGGGACCAAAAATGTTTCAGAATTTGGGAAAAAGTGGCCCGGTCGGGCGACCGGAAACAAGGTCATTATTGTTTTGGCCTAAGCAATTGTTACTGAGCAACTGCTTACATTGGCTTTCCCCTTTGTGGCGAATACAACTAAACTGATATAGCTGGTAGCTGCACCCGCTGAGCTGTACAGGAGAGCTATTGTCACCAGACATGCATTACTATATTTATTGATTTACTCAATTTAATCCCGTAGCATATGCAAGCAACGCTAATACTTTTGGAGAGCAACCATTTTTTACCAACATCTGCCGCTAGGGTTTATCGGGTGTTAGCGGCCGTCGTGAGTTCCCTTCGGGAACGGACACGATAATTTACTTTACTTACATGCATTTCCATAATTTTCCACCCTTGATGTTGCCATGATATTGCCATGATATGCCATGATATGCCATGATATGCCATGATATGCCATGATATGCCATGATATGCCATGATATGCCTTTGGAATATCAAATAAAATATAAAGAAATGAAAAGAAGTACTCGGATGGTGAGCCAATTATATAATTGTGAAAGAAGAAAGAGAAAATCATAACATAACTCGTAACATTTTGTCTTTCTTCTTTCACAAAAGAAGTACTGTCAGTCAACGAGTATTTGGCGCGTATCTACTTTTGACTATTTTCGGCCTGATCATATTTGGCCGACAATTGGTTGCAGGTGAAATTTAGTTTGCAAGGTTCAGTGTGACAGCGCATACGGGTAGCAGTAGTGCAGGCTGAAAATTGTGTTGCAGCCGAAGTGACATTTTGTGTTTTAGCCCTGGGAGGCCGAACATTTGAACGGGCCAAAAGTTTGTAGACCTACAGTGGAGCCGTGTTTGTGTCCTTGCTCTCGACTCACCTTGTGGTACGGCGCACCGCGTGCAGAGTTGAGTGCGCTGGACGAGTTGAAGCGTCGCGGCGGCCTCATGGCACCTCCGGGTGCCACCTGCTGCTCACAGTCGCCAGCGTTCAGTGACGGTGTGGAACCGGCGAGCTGCAAACGGCTCAGGTGAAGCGGCTCCTCCCTGATTGCTCCACCCGGGGTCGCTACCCCGCTGGTGGCAGTGGGTATGGGTTGCTGCCGGTTCTCGTCCAGTACACTCGGGCAGGACAATGCCTGCGTGTGCTGTAGCGATGCCCTGCAGCCGGCTGGAGATATCCAGATTGCTGCTGCTGTTGCTGTTGCTGCTGCTGCTGTTGCTGCTGCTGATGATGATTTTGTAGTTGCCTGAAGAGAGAGAGAGAGAGAGAGAGAGTGTGTGTGTGTGTGTGTGTGAGTGTGTGTGTGTGTTCACGTGCAACGCACGGCACTCCAATAGAGTAGTGGGCACGATCAACGCCAGACGGAAAAAACCCACACACACACGGAAAAGAGAGACGGACACGTACACAAACACAAAACATGCATACACGCGTGAACAGACACACGCACACATGCACGCACGCACATCGACATGCAGGCCACACAGATAAATAAACCGAGCCGTTCGCATGAAGAACAGGGATAAGATTTTTACAGATACGGGTGAATACACAGATTCACACACACACAGACACAGACACACACACACACTGTTAAAACGGGTCAACAACACACTTAAATTGGAGTCTGCGTGTGCTTAAAAAACAACACCTTTCCTATAACAAATATTCAATCTCCACAACGTACTACAGTCAGACCTGGCTTATCCGGTCCTCTTTTATCCGGTCCTCTTTTCTCCGGTCCTCTTTTCTCCGGTCCTCTTTTCTCCGGTCCCCTTTTCTCCGGTCCCCTTTTCTCCGGTCCCCTTTTCCTCCGGTCCCCTTTTCTCCGGTCCCCTTTTGTCCGGTCCTCTTTTGTCCGGTCCTCTTTTGTCCGGTCCTCTTTTGTCCGGTCCTCTTTTGTCCGGTCCTCTTTTGTCCGGTCCTCTTTTGTCCGGTCCTCTTTGTCCGGTCCTCTTTTGTCCGGTCCTCTTTTGTCCGGTCCTCTTTTGTCCGTCCTCTTTTGTCCGGTCCTCTTTTGTCCGGTCCTCTTTTGTCCGGTCCTCTTTTGTCCGGTCCTCTTTTATCCGGTCCTCTTTTATCCGGTCCTCTTTTATACCGGTCCTCTTTTATCCGGTCCTCTTTTATCCGGATCCCTCGCCATCCGGAAGAAAATCGTTGGTTACCGATTTACCGTTATTCCGCACATATAAGCCCATGGGCTTATATATTATGTGAAATAAGCCCATGGGCTTATGTGTGAAATAAGCCCATGGGCTTATATGTGAAATAAGCCCATGGGCTTATATGTGAAATAATGCAGTTTGGGGATAGAATATCGAGTAAAACATATTCGTGTTTTAGCCCATGGGCCAATACTCGAATTTTGAAGGTTCACGAAAAAGTACAAGTCCGTGCTCATAGTGGGCCCAACATACTCGACTGGTAAACTGCACTGACCTGCTGTACCATGGTAGGAAGAGTCCATTTCGTGAAAAATTCTACTTGACACGCGAGTTGCATTTGTGTATGTTTATGTTTATTAGCCCATGAGCTTATAAACGGAGGTGGGCTTAAAACCGGATATAGGCCCGTGGCTTATATGCGCGGATTGCGGTATACCATGCATGCATACAGTATGTGTGTTCGATGTCTGGTTCCCTCGCCTATCCGGATATTATTGTGGAGAACGGATATGTGCGTTATTCGAGGTCTGACTGTATCGTCATCTAACCTAACAACATGCCCAAAATTTAATAATGCAACACCAGCAGGGATGAATTTATTGTCATATTTTCGCATAGCAGTTTCTGCTATACGAAATCACAATTGTGTAGCAGTCTTCGATTTTGATTAGCATTTTTCTTTGAAGGTTGGGTGTTTACCACATTGTCTTCTTGAGAGTGATGCCTGAAAGCCCATTTGCAAAAAAACGACTGAATCGTACATGTGCACGCAGATTGAGAGTGCCTGCACACATACACTGCATGTTACTTGACAGCACAGGCTAGGCATGGATAGTCTGCATGTATCGCAGTTTTCTGCGAATCACGGTGACGTTTGAGTAGCAGTAGATGAACTTTGCATAGCAAAATGCGATGCGATACAGGATAAATTCATCCGTGACACCAGACACCTGAAAAACAGAGATTTTAATTATTTATTCCACGAGGGCACCCTTACCAATAAGAGATAAGATTGGTAAACCCATTTCACAATGACGTAGTTTGTACATAAAACCCCACAAACTCACTGAGTTTTTCGCATGCATGTGAGTAGTCAGCGGTGGATAATGCCGATATTATTTTGAGAACCCCCCCCCCCCCCCCCCCCCTTCTCGGGAAATGTAGCCAACATTGCCTGCAAGCCACTGGAGGCTGTGGCGGAAGGTGTTGGTGGTGTACGGTACAAACGTGACCGCAGCCTATGCCCAGATGATTCAAAACAAGTACTGTAAGACATGTTATTATAACGAGTCGCAAGTTTAACGATTGTCCAAAATTCATAGGTTAACGAGAAGATATGTTAACGATCTTGCATTATTCTGCCATATCCACACACAGCATATATGAAGCAGTACGGCCTCAACGGATCTTATTATAACGAAGAAATGTCATCCGTTAAAACGTTAGATTTACTTCCTCGTTATATATACATGTCTTACAGTACTATGTATGGGCTGTTCATCTGTGTCGATGGAGCAGACCAAGCTCCGAATCCGAGCACACTGCACAAGAACAACATGAAAAACTTACATTTGGGCATGAGCAGCGACAGGTGTTGCTCCGCCGCATTTGCACTGGCCTGCAAGGCTGAATCTCCGGGAAGACGTGCAGCCTGCAGCTGCCGCTGCTGCAGCAGCAGCCGCTCTTGGTGCTGTTGCCGCAGCTGCTGTTGTTGCTGTTGCTGCTCCTGTTGCTGTTGCTGCTGCAGCTGTTGACGCGCCTGTAACTGCCCTGCAGATCGTCAGTCAGTATATATAGAGCCAGAGGGCCGCAATTAGAAAATGAGCCAGAGCGCGCTAAAACATGACCACAGCTTTTTTGGAAAAAGTCTAGAAAATCGCAATTTGAATTCCGCGGCAAAAAATACGAAATGCAGTGCAACGCGAGTCGCTGTTGTTGTTCTCCTCGGTCGACTGAACTTTTCCGGATGCTTTTCTTTGTTTCAGGTAAGGAAGTTTGTTTGTTTGAGTATGTATTCCATGCTGCGCTGAGTCGCCTACAACTGATCGTCATCGATGTATCGAAGGAAGAGCCGAATGTACTGCGGAGTGGAAGAAGACGATATCCTGGCATTCCATGCGCGGGATGAAATATTTTAGGATTCGCGTCGGAAAAAGAAGGAAGACGATGACGGCTACAGCAACGAGTCATTTGAGGGCGACACTTTCATCGAGCGTAAAATAATTGATGCTGGTAGTCCCACGATCTGCAGTGATGAGGAATTCTACTCTGATGACAACCAGGCAACCGATTGGCATCGACACTGACTTGGGAGGTGAGTCGGCCAGAGTGGACATCGCTGCACATATCCGGGACAATGCCAGTATTGGTTGCAAGTGCAAAAACAATCAATGGACTCTACTGCTCCCTGAAGTCGATAATTTGAGTACCCTTATGCCTCTATGTGGAACATCGCTAGCACGTGCAGTAGGCAGCGAAAGCAGCACTCTCTGGCGAGCGGAGAAAACCGTGTGCAGATGGGCTTGGGTGGGGGGAATATGAGTGCGACGTTGAGTATGTTGAGGAAGACTATGTGCAGCAGTGTATCCTGTATACATGTAATTATCTGAAAATACAGGTGGAGTGTGGTGGAGAGGACGCGGAGTACCAACTTCTTCGGACGTCTACAGATGTTCACCGTGTTTTCGCTGGCGGTTCTCCAGTGGTGTTCAAACCAGGAGGTATTTGAGACACCTAACTCAGCTGCCTATAGAAACTTTGGATGTGGCCGAGTATCTGTTAGCTCATGCTATAAGACCCTGGACAGAGGAACTGACCCGGAAAGGATGAACCAAGGGACATATCAACAGTATGCAAAATGACAATCCCATTGCTGTACATAGAATTTCACCATTTCAACAGTGCTGCATATAACACCATTGTAGCAACACTTAGACACGTCAGATCAATCCAAAACTTTCAGACAGTGAACATTAGGTGTGTTTGATCATTTTTGAACAAAAAACTGAAACTCGAATTTTTGGTCTCTCTCTTGTAACTTATTATTATTATATATATATATTTTTTTATTACACCTTCCAGTGGCTAAAGATGAATCAGTGCCAATATAGATGAGGAGGGGACGTTTGTGGTCATATCTTAGCGTGCTCTGGCTCTAATGCCGGTATCGCAACCCCATACACATACATGTATACACATCACAGATCACGCACGCCCTACGTGTAAGTGGGAAAAATCATGACCACCTAGCAGTACATAGCACAGAGACAACAAGCCCTGAGTAGCAAAACGATGTGACCTCGGCAGTGCGGGCCAACATCATCGCCGCCACTGCCACCACCACTACCATCAGCAGCACTAGCATCAGCACCACCACCATCAGCACCACCACCATTACCATCACCACCACCTCCACCACCTCCACCACCATCACCATCATCACCACCACCACCACCACCACCACCACCACCACTACCACCACCACCACCACCTCCACCACTACCACCACCACCACCTCCACCACCACCACCACCACCACCACCACCACCGCCACCACCACCACCGCCACCACCACCACCACCAGCAGCAGCAGCAGCACCACCACCACCACCAGCACCACCACAAGTACCAACAGCAACAGCAGCAGCAGCAGCACCACCACCACCACCACCAGCACCACCAGCACTACCACTACCACCACCACAAGTACCAACAGCAGCAGCACCACCACCACCAGCACCACCACCAGCACCACCACCACCACCACCACCACCACCAGCACCACCACCACAAGTACCAACAGCAGCAGCAGCAATATTACTAGCAGCATACCAGTATCACCACTACCAATACCAGCAATTACACAGCGGAGGCAGCAAAATTCACTGCTCCTTGAAAAGATGGAAATACATACGAGCCGCGCTGTTGATGTCCGTCAACGATAGTGTCTGTCGCCTGCAGATCCAGAAAAATATTGCAGGAAAAAACCAATCAACTCTAATAAAGCCTGGACTCGGATGGAGAGCCAAGGAAAGTGTTGTTAGTGTTGTGCAATGAGGTTATCGCATGAGCTGATTGTTTAGTAACTGGTGGTGTTCGTGGACAGTATAGCGTAACTTGTAGTTCCTTGGTCCTGTTTATCTAATAAAGCAATGACTACTAGTACAATCCCAGTATACTGTAAGACATGTATATGTAGATATAACGAGGAAGCAAATCTAACGTTTTAACGGATGACATTTCTTCGTTATAATAAGATTCGTTGAGGCCGCACTGCTTCATATATGCTGTGTGTGGATATGGCAGAATCCTGCAAGATCGTTAACATATCTTCTCGTTAACCCTTTGTGGACGGACTGTACGAGTTTCGATCTAATAAGATCGAAAGTCTACAGGCGGTAAAATCTTCGTAACTCCATCGTTTCTTGAGCAAATTCCACAATCGAAGGGTCTACGTGGTAGCGGAAACTCCAAGCTGTCCAATGCAACAATCGCCGAAGAGTTACGATGTCGGACGCCAGAGATATCGCACGCCGTATTCTTACCTCGGCAAATTCAAATTTTTGATCGATCATTTCGCCATTTTGGGGGAAAACCCCTTTTCGTGTGCTCCTTGAGCGACTGAGCACATGATAATGACGTAGCCGGCTGAAGTTTGAATCGTCTCAAACAGATTTGAGCGTTCTGCGATGAAGGAGAGTGGAATGGCGTTGATGGGACGAATTTGCTTGCATATCAGGCTTGGAGACGACTTTGCTGTGTTACCGCGCCTGATTTGTGGCGGCTGGATAATGGAGATTGGTACCCTGGCGTTGCTCTCGTCAAGAGCTTTCCAATGAGCCCTTGATTGTGAAAATCAAGTGAAGGACACCAACGTTTTGACATGGTAAAGTTGAAAATTGTACTGACATTTTGTAATTCTGGTGCGTACTGTGCTAGTAATCCGTCCATAAAGGGTTAACCTATGAATTTTGGACAATCGTTACATTTGCGACTCGTTATAATAATATGTCTTACAGTAGCTTAGTCGCAGCTGTAGAACAGGCCTAGCCTATAGCACCGGTTGGTCCCTGATCCCGGATGCCTGGCCTGGTCGCGGATGCCTGGCCTGGTCCCTGATGACAGTCGACCTCTTGTTCTCAACACTTTCCCCTCAAAGTACTGAACAACGCGTGTTTTCGCTCGTTGTTTGTGGGATTTTCAAATTCTTTACACACGTGCTTGCAGCTCAGAGTACACTGGCAAACAGCCGGACACAGCTGCCTTTCACGGACAGCTTTGCAGAGACCAGGGGCGTTGTACAGTACTCGACATTGGTGCGGCCATGAATGGGTGAAGGGTCCCGGGGTCCTCCCCTGGGAAAAGGTTTAGGGGAATTGGGCTCAACTAGCCCATATTCCATTGCTTCAAAATCACTAAATGAAATTATTGGTGTGGCCACTTTGGCCGCACGTCCTGCACTGGTTCCGACGCCTCTGGAGATTCAAAGCTGAGTAACAACCTGGTCAGGAGTGGCACCGGGAGCACACGAGAGGGTACCGCCGGCAAGTGTTCGTCTCCTTTTGTCTTCATTTCCTTTCGAAAAGCACCTTCTCCCGCGAATCTACAAACCTTGAGCCTCTCTACGATTTCGGCAAAACCTTAGATCGGTTTCAGCAAATCATGGTTCAAACTGTTTTCTTATCTATGTAACTGGAAAATGGCACCGGATATAAACTGCATCCCACAAGTGTTACACACACACACACACACACACACACACACACGCACACACACACACACACACACACACACACACACACACACACACACACACACACACACACACACACACACACACACACACACCATTTGACCATTTCACGCCCATCGCCGGAGGCGATGATAGTGATGCTACAGCAGAAGCCATAGCAACTTGTGCTGGGATTGCACCATTCTACAGCTTGCAAGGCTGAAGAATTGACCGCCACTGTTCAGCCTGGTCTACAGCACACAGCTATGAAGTGGCTTTTTCTGGCCAGTGAATCCCTACTTTTTGGTCTTTTTCAAATTTTTCCTGCACACACATCACACCACATACTCCGGCATGCGCTGGCTATTGGTAACCACCCAGGAGAATGAAAGCAAAGTCAGGAGGAGTCTGAGAAAGAGAAGAAAGACGTGTGTGACCATAATCATCGGGAATAGAACCCTCTCAAACCCTCTCGATTGGATATCGCTGCACATACCACTGCACCATATGGGCACACACAAACACACACACACACACACACAGAAACAGACACAGACACACACACACACACACACACACACACACACACACACACACGGGGTGCAAATCACAAACCTTATCATGTCCATCTGGGCAGCATCAGATGTCTCCCGAGAAGTCAGATTCATTGCAGTCTGGAGTCCTGCTACACCATTCAAGAAAAAAACACGCGCAAAACGTGAATGCACAGCAGCAGAAGCAGCAACAGTGGCAAAGAAAACATGTTACCAACAAATGAAATGATCACTGAGCTATGCGTGCCAAGATTCACAAGCTACTGTTCTGGACATTGAGGGAAGACCGGGGCCGGCACCCGTACTCCATTTAGCGCATACAGCCACTGTAGTTCATGTACATTTCGAAAAACGGACCAGCGGTGCTCGCAGCCGCAAGGCCAGCACCACGTGGCCATTTGGCTTCTCAGAGGACGTCAATGTCCGCTACAGTAAGAGAGGTTGCTGCGCAGGATCCCCACCTCCACCACCACCACCTATAACCGAAGATCACACAGTTCCATTGTGATCCATGAGGAGGCTCAAGCCACAATACACAACACCAGTTACAAAACACACAAACTACTTCAGCAGAGCAATCCCCTAGAGCAATCCCCTAGAGCAATCCCCTAGCTCAGGCCCCTAGCTCAAGCCCCTAGCTCAAGCCCCTTCTGTGACAGTTGCTGTTCGCAGTTTATGTATCTGGTGTACAGTTGCACGCGAGTACACATACCGCGCGCCCACTACCCTTTCTCAGGTTGAGCCCGCGCACTGGCTGCATGCAAGGGTATTGGTCCAATGCTGGTGTTTAGTTTGTTGCTTGTATCCACGTCTGGACAAATACAGTAGTTGTCCGTTCTTCTTGCTCTCCCAACCCTACTGCCTTGCGTTCCCAATTCCTCAACCTTAGTTTCTTTGCCTCAACCAGACGGTTGTCTGTGGTGATTCTGTGTGTTGCGTGCCAGTGGCGTGTGGATGTGAGGGAAGGTTCGTCTACAGAGAGTGGTGCCGAAACCCGGGACTCAAGCTTCAGTGTTTTGTAGTTTGGCGCTCTGTTGTGATGGCGGAGCCTAGGTTGAAAGTGGACAGATTTCGCGGACGAGGCGATGACTGGGACGAGAGTTCAGATTCAGGACCCATCGATCTACCGTCCCTTGGTCTGCTTCAACTATTGAAGCTGCGATGTACACATTCTTTGTACAGCCATTCCTCGTTTATGCGGGGCGGTCCGCGACCAGGCACTGCCCGTAACTTCGAAATGTCCGTAACTCCGAATAACATACATTTTGATGGGGAAAGACCATAGATATGGCATATGACATCACTATTTCAACAAAAAATGACAAAAGAGTAGTAATATTTCCACTGAAACATACCCAGAGGGTGCCCGGTAGACCGAAATGCCCGACACGTCGGGGGTGCGGATAACCGAGCGATCAGTGTGTTTCGATCTCTGGCTATGCACGACAGCATCAGTGAGCCAAACAGCCATCAGTGAGCCAAACAGCCATCAGTGAGCCAAATAGCCATCAGTGAGCCAAATACTGCAATTTCACAAAATTTCGGTGTACTTTTATTTTCGGTACTTTCGGTGCGTCTGTTTCATACCTAAAATGTCAATACACCGAACGAACGCGAACCCACATAATCCAATAGGGAACTGCTTCTCTGTACCGAAAATTTCTGTTCACCTAACCTAGCCTGTTGCCCTCATACCGAAAATATTGAGCACCGAAAATATCTGAAATTAGAGTAGCCGTGAAAGACTGACATCATGAAACAATGTTCCGCTGTGGGCTGGGGAATCGTCGAGCTGCACACTCTTGTTTGCGTACATGATATTGTACTCTCTTCTTGTTTTTGTTTTTTTTTTTACTTATTTTAGCTTGTTGCCTCAAGAGTACAATGTGCAACTTCAAAGAGGGGTTAGAGGGGTTGAGGGGTTGAGCAGGAAAACAATAACTGAGGGTCATGCTGGTGTCGGTACGAGGCTAAACGAGGCCTACTGTATAAGCCAGAGACGCAAATACCGTAAAGTCTTGTATGAAAGCTGCGGCTTCTATGACTTTCTTGGTGAAGTTTTGCAGGCTTCTATATGAGACAGGTGTTTCTATGTACGTCAACACTAAAACCAGGCGTATGTGTGATTTGATGGGCCCAAAATTGCGGCTTCTATTCGAGGGCGGCTTCTATTCAAGTGCGGCTTTTATACAAGACTTTACGGCACAACGATTTCCAAAAATTGACCGGTTTACGTGCGCCAACGGCAACGATTCTCACTCATTCTCAACGTTCACCGGTAACAGTACCTGACTTAACAGGGAGCGTCGGAAGCTAATTTAGTGTGGTACGGTCAGCCATCTGAACTGTACACTTTGCTCGTGGGGGGGGGGGGGGTGTTGGCTGAGGCGAAAATTTTGGAAATTTAGAGCCCAAATCCAGTGTAATTTATTGATTCACAGGGTGCTTGGTGCAAATAGTGGTACGGTCTATACCGCAGTGGTCGTACCGTGTCCGACGCCACTGCTTAGTAGTCATTCCCGTATAACGTTTTTCATGCGGATTTCTCCTCGTTAACTCGATAGATGTAGCACTTCGCTTTACATGCATTCTCCAGAGTATAAGGCACACCACACCCCCACACACACCCATGTTTTGCCACTAAAAAAATCCCACGAAAATACAGACATCAGCCCTATTTATCATCGTTCTTTTGAGTGAATTTCGAGTGCTCAAAGTGCGGCTTACACTCCGCAACAATAGGGTAAGACATTTTACAATACCTGGATTGAAGAAATGCGGATTGGCGGCACCATTAGCCTGCATCAGAGGTATTTGCGGCGGTACAAACTCCGGTGACCGCGGCGTTAACTGGCTTCCAGGAGGACGTTTTCGCGAGTTCACCCACTGGGGATCAAACGCCGACCGCGGCGTGAACAGGTTTGCTACGCAGCCGTGTCCGCCAGCGCCACTGGGCACTGTAGACTGAAGCCCCATGTGATGTGAGGGGCCGATTGAGTCGTACGTCGGCAGACTTGCATCAACAGCTCCTGGGCGTGGCTGCCCCGTGTACTGGAGAGGTGGACGCGTAGTATGCACACGTGCACACGCACGCACGCACGCACGCACGCACGCACACACACACATACACACACACACACACACACACACACATATACTAGTCAAGATATATCTTCACTAGTTTGAGGGAGACTCGGAGACAAACGGGAAAAGTCTGAAGAAATAATTGACTGTCACCATCGGGACTCGAACCAGGGACCCTCGCTTGCAGCTAGCTATGCTCTAACCAAACATACACGAGAGAGCTTGGAAGCTCAGGGCCCTACGCTATGCTTGTTTGCCTTGATGACCTAGACAAAAAAAAGCATAGGGATGTTATAATTTTTCTTATAAATTTCTCCTATTTTTTTTTAAGACATAACATGGGATTCGAACCCGCACTATCGCCCTGCATGCATCCATACTAATTCTTCCACGTTGCTTCATGTTATGATCTTGCGTTTGAAAGTCCTATTTGAATATTGTGGCCAGCTGTTTGTGGCCAGCTGTCTTTGATGGTACGGTACGGTACGGGACAGATACGGGATAGCGCTAGGCGTGACACAAACAAACAAATAAACGCCAAATTAAAGCTGTGTGGACCCTCGCTAGCACCAGATGTTACTGAAGTAACGTCTTCTGCATAGCTACGGGAATAAAACACACACTCCGGCTTCATTCACTCCAGTGACTGCAGGTGTGGACTATAGTAGAATCCTACCCACACGCATGTACGCACACACATACACTTCCACATATATCCCGCAACCTATTGTTTGCAAATCGGTGCACATACCACTGCACCATATGGGACACACACACACACACACACACACACACACACACACACACACACACACACACACACACACACACACATACACCCCACGCGCACCCACACACATACACATGCACGCACACATACACAAACACACACACACACACTTCCGACCTTTTGACGCCAATCACCAGAGGCGATGATAGCGATGTTATGGCAGAAGCCACAGCAACTTGTGCTGGGATTGCACCATTCAACAGCTTGCAAAGCTGAAGAATTGGCCGCCACTATTCAGCCTGTTTTACACCACACAGCTATGAAGTGGCTTTTCTGGCCAGTAAATCCCTACTTTTTGGTCTTTTAATTGTTGTCCCGCACGCACATCACGCCACATACTCTGGCATGCACTGGCTGCTGGTAACCACCCAGGAGAATGAAAGAAAAGTCAGGAGTCTGAGAAAGGGAGGAAAGACGTGTGTGTGTGTGACCATAATCGTCGGGAATCGAACCCGAAACCTCTCGATTGGAAATTGCTGCGCATACCACTGCACCACATGGGACACACACACACACACACACACACTTGAACGTGCCCATTGCCGATGGCAATGATAGCGAAGGGACTATCCGCTAGCTTTGCAGTACGGAGCGTCGCGCTTGAGGTCCCCGACGGCAGACCTTTCCACATGCGCAGCGGAAGCCAGAGTCAGGATCAGGAGGAGCACGGGCGGGAGGACGACGATGAGCAATCACACACACACACACACACACACACACACGTTCACACACACACACAAGGACCGGAGGCTGCGTGCACAAAACTAACCGGTCCGGGTATCCAACCGACACCCTGATGTCCATGGCCCATGAGCGAATGGCCATCGTGTGTCGACGGATACGGCCCTGCCGACTGAGGTGTTCCCTGAGAGAGGGGGGGGGGCACAACAAAGTAACAGATAAGTACAGAGAAATGAGTCACAAGGGGGAGAGGGGGAGGTGAGCACAGAGAGGTCAAGAACCCAGGAGGGGTCAGAGTAACAAGCAAAAAACAACAACAACAACAACAACCTCTTGTTGTCGTTGTTTTTAAAACCATCATTATTCTCACGATGGCCAGTGGCCAATAAGAGTTAATAGTGTGAGAGAGGAGAAAGAGTGAGGAAGAATTGGGTGGGCAGGGCCTAGGGATTAATGACTAATTAAGTGTGCGGGCAGGGGTGGTTGCTACACGAGCATACAGAGTTGTGGAACAGCAGGGATATCTGGGATTTGAAGAGAGTACGAGAAGGGATTTCGCGAAGCTGGGTAGGCAAGCAGGTGCCATCTTTGAAGCCAGTCTCCAGTTGCTGTGACATTCTGTTGTAGGTTTCAGGTGCAGTCTTGAAGAGTTCCCGCTATGGAAATCAGAGCGGCGTCATCTGCAAATTGGCTACAGGTGGTGCCGGGATTCTCACATGCGTGTAGAAGGTCTATGGTGTAGACGAGGAATAGAAGCGGCCCAGAAGCAGATCCCTGAGGGACGCCGGCAGTGATCCCGAGGAAAGGCGATAGGTCGCCATCCCCCTGGACTCTCTGCCGACGGCCCAACAGGTACCGTCGGAACATCTCTAGGGCGTTGCCCTGGACACCATAGTGGGAGAGGTTTGCTGGAAGACCTGCATGCCACACACGATCAAAGGCCTTGCTGAGATCGAAAAAGCAGGCTGTGACGTGTTTCCCGTTGTCTCTCGCAGTGGAGAGGGTATGGACGAGACGAGCAAGCTGCTGTTCAGTGCCGTCTTTCTCACGGAATCCGGGCTGCTGGTTGGGTGGGTGGGGTGTTATATGCTTGTAGAGGAGCCGATGTACAATGTTTTCTTGGATTTTCGATGTAGTGCTCAAGAGAGAGAGATGGGTCTATAGTTTGTTGGTTGTGTCGGGTCACCAGGCTTGGGCACTGGACTAATGGTGGCATCTTTCCACTCCTGTGGGATATCTCCGGTTTGGGATGATATTAAAGAGGGACGATAACGACGGTGCAAGTTCTTTAGCCGCTTCTTTGAGTAAGCGGTTTGGTATAGAGTAGAACCCGGGGCTTTTGTTGGTATCAACTCCGCGGAGGAGTTTTTCGACCTCAGCTTGGGAAGTCGAGATTTCTTGAGGGGGACTGAGGATGTCAGGGGTGGTGTTAATGGCTGGAGTTTGCTCATCCGCATTGGCCACGGACAGTTTTCTCTCTGAAATGAAGAATTCGTTGAGGGTAGCGGCTTTTTGTGCTGGTGTCGCTTGGCTGACGAGTTCGGGTATGCGTTGTTTCGTAGCTGTTGTTAGGTGCTTCATGAGGCGGTGTAGGGAAGTAGAGGAGGCTGTTGAGTTGTTTACGAAATCTGATTTTGCATGACGCAGGAGAGTGGTGACACGGTGTCTTTGTTGTTGTTGTTGATTGTTGTTGTTTCAAATATTTTCAAATCTTTATTCTTGTTGTTGTTGTTGAATTCTTTATTCTCATGATGGCACCACACACAACAACAATAACAACAACAATGGATCAAGGCATTCTCGCAAAAAAACCATGGGTCGTGTGACACTCAGCTTGAGGCCGGTTTTCACACATCCGCAGGAACGCCACCCACCGTCAAATAACAAGGTGCATTCTCGCAAGAAACGAGTCCAAAAATACAAATAATTATAAAGAACTTCAGAAAAGCACAATGCCAGTGTATGTACCATCAAATCGTGGACAAACACCAATCCCGATATGTGAAGATAACCACCCAATGGAATCTGTCCTCAAGTACTAGTATACAGAATACCGTTGGAAATTATAACGCGTGTATGTGTTCGCGTGGGCGCGTGCGCACGTGGTACGCGTCGTGGTACGCGTCAGCTATCAGGAAGCTGCCTGCCTGCAGGACCATTTTGAAAGTCAGACTACATAGTTACGGCGTCACGATTCACTTTCCGGTTTCTCGGGAGCGTGTTCGCGTCGACAAAAGGACTACCCTTACTCTTACAGTGGTGGGAGAGCAGCGTATCCATGTGTGCCGGATTTCCGACTATAAGCCTCACCCCCATTTCTTTTGCCACAGAATACAAACATCTACCCCATAAGGGCTATTCATCACCGTTAATTTGATCATCGGAGTATACGCCGTCCCCCCCCCCCCCCCCCCCCCGCCATTTCCGGGTGAATTTTGAATGCTCAAAGTGCGGCTTATACTCCGGAAAATACGGCACATGAAGACGTGGAACACAACACCCGGCAGGTACCAAAATAGAATCAAAGATCATTCTAAATGAGATATGTGTAAGAGGTGAAATCACTCAGCGAGCTGATTCAGGTTTGGGGTTGTGCTGAAACAATTTTAATAATGCACTCACGGTTTCCGTGAGACTCGGCTAGAGGCCTGGTTTTTCGCATCTGCAGGAAAGCTACCACGCTCAAGAACGAAGGCGCAGATGCAGCTCCTAAACCGGTGGGAGGTAAATAGATCAGACCCACCGCCAAAGTGGTAAAGGACCGAAAATCCCAGTCACTGAATCCTACCACTCGAAATTGACAAGGAAATGGATATAGCAGGTTCAATGCGGCGTTCCAGCTCACGTATTCTTACTAGTCTAGGTCTGTGACAAATAGCACGCTTTCATCTCCGTCATTACTCTACGGTTGCAGCAAGGCTGTTCCTGGGCAGCTGCCGACTTGCTCAGCGCCTGCGCTCCTCCGAGTACAGACGCGGTGAGGGAGGGCAGGGGGCGGGATGGGGGAAGGCAGAAGGCAGGCACGCAGGAGGTGACCGCATGTCTATAGTTTACGCGTGGAAAATAGCTACGGCGCGCAAGTTGCGCTGGTGATGCGCAACATCGCATCGCGTCAACACCACAGAGTCCACAGCCCCAAGCGTATGGCCGCACGCGACAGCGAGTATCCGAGCTAGGGTTGGCCTGTGTGGTGCCGCACTGCCAGCACTGCGTAGTGAAAGGATGGTCGAGCTATAAACTGGATTCGAGATTTCCTTCCGTAGATTCAAAGGTGACACCTGTACGCGATGCAGCGCGCAGACCTTTCAAGGTTTCTTAGAAAATCGCACTCAAAAGTTGCAAAACTGCGTCAGATCAATAATGATAATATCTAATTCTCCAGTTCGTGGCTACTACTACGTAATGCTGAGACAGTGCACTGCTGGCCCAAGAGCCTGTGCGTACTAGAGCTGCATGCCCCCCCCCCCCCCCCCCGTCATGGACACTTGGTAACACACAAGTCATGACAAACTGGAAATACCCACACGCACACAGCCACACCATAAATCGGCCACACCATAATAAATCTGTGCTGCAAAAAAAACACAACACTGATCACCGGCGCACCACCTCTCTCATGACAGGCGGATTCGAATACTGACTACTGAAACCAGCGTACAGCGCCACGGAGGCCGTGACAGCGAAAACAAACAATGTGACGAGGCAGCGAATACAAGCGCCAGGCGATCCACCCCGGAATAAAAAATGCCACCATTCCAAGTGGCCTAAAAAAAATGCTAAATCACGACGCGCAGTGCAGGTATCTTGCGCTACGTCACAGTACGTGTACTCCACGACTCCGAGCAACAATTTCTACCCTAGTACCAGCAAACAGTTCACCATCAACAAGCTCCAGTCCGACTGGCTACAAGGTCGACGCGAACGAATAAGGCCGAACTAATCAGGAAACGCACCGATGTCGCTGCTTCAGCGTATCGCCGCGGTGGAGTTCAGCTCGCTGACACCGTGCGAGCGAACTCCACCGCCATACGGAACGACGCAAAGCCAATAGCACCAACACGATCTGAATAGAAAACGTGCGAGCGAACGACATGCTGCTCTTTACACCGTCGCCATAGCTTACATCGCTTTCACAGCTACACCCAGTTCTTCCGCCAAAACCCCGCTTCGCAACACCCAAAGCTATGGAGTACGCTGCCATCGACGGCTGCAAACAGGAGCGCAGCGGACAGTTGTGCACCCAACTCCAGCTCCTCACGCTCGACAACACGCGAGGTCGGAAATGGACGGATATTTACCCGTCCTGCGCTGCCTGGCCAGACCCCTAATCAAAACTGTCAACACGTTCTTACTCGCAGCTACAAACGCCACGACGCCACGATTATAAAAATACATGTAGAACCAAAATACAAAATTGGCCGTGTTTCGTTTACAGCCGCTTCAAACATTCATAATTTCGTCTCTCACCATTGGTGCTGTATCGTCTCGTCGATAGTTCAGCACATTATCGAATTCTGCCGCCTGCTCCTTCGCTCGCTGGTGCTCCCGCGCGATGCGGTCCGCAAACTTTCTCGGTCTGGCTCTTTGAGTAGCCATCAGGCATCAAGAAAAACTCTACCCACTAGTACTAGCGCTTCGAGTGACAAATACAACAGTGCCAAGCACTAGCGACTAGCAGTACTAGCGGTTCGTGTCGCCCAGAATCTACAGCTAGCCAACTTTTACACCCGATCTTGAAAACAACCAGTACTGCAGTGCTGTTCTTCATATCCATCCAGTCCAGACAACAAAATTTTAATAATGAAGTTCAACCCAGCAAGCTAGCACTAGCAGTGAAGTGTGCATGTGTGGCAGATCTGCTGATTCAGTGATTGGGTAGACCTACGTGTACTAGTATTAGCTAAAGACTCACTAGTACCAAGAGTACATAAACCGGTTTATGTACTCTTGCTAGTACTGACTGTACGGACTAGTAGTAGTGTACTAGTGTCTCGTAGTGACTCACGGTAGGGTGTTGCCACTCCTGTTGTGCTGGCAGTCAACGACTAGTCGACTGTCAGTTGCATGACTGAGACTCTTGCGCAGTTGCGGAGTAGCGCTATTTAGTAATTAGGAATTCCGCTAGGACCTGAAAGGTCTGACGTGGAATTCAGGTTACACTAGGAGGTGAAGGCGGAGAATGTGACACAAACTCCAACCTCGTCCCCTTGATATTCCCGCCCTTTCCCTCACTCCTTCGGCCTTTTTCTTCGCTTCAAATTGTTGCAGTTGCAGATTTATTTCTCTTTGGACGTAGCTGTATAGCCTACATACGTGTTGATTGCAGAGCCATGTCATCCGTTAGTGACCTCCCCAGTCAGGGGACGGCTGGTTCTGCGCGTCCCACGCAGCACGACCCGCTTGTGGCAAATCGTGGAGCTGCAGAGATCCAGAGTGGGAATGCTGTGCTGTGGCCTTTTTCTTCGCTGTGAATTATTTGAAAAGCGAAGATTTGAGGCCTAACACACTGTCACATTCGTAGCCGGAGCCTCCGAAGTGTAATTAGTATAGCCGTGTCTAGCCACACTTTTTATTATCCGATGATCTTGTTTTGTTTGCTATAAAAAAAAAACGGTAGGGTGTTCGGTGCCTCGAACCCAGGCGCATTTTGAGTGGAAACAGTTTTGTACGGGGTCCGTGGCACAATCGTACATCACTGTGCTTCTTGCCTTGGCAAGGTAAAATTTTAGCAACTCAGGCCGAGTTTGTTTCTTTGTTCGAAAGAGGAGATGTCTCTGCTGTTGAGACCGTAAGTCCCGTTTCCACACGACGAATTTTAGCAATGTTACGCCCTGCGCAACTTCAGGGTATCGATTTCGGCCTGTTCTGGGCCGGTTGCAACGCCGGCGACTATTCCATCGTCTTCAGCGTCGAAAAACTACGCAGTGTGTGAAATTTGGAGGCTGTACGATGCTGTCTTCTTGTTCTATTATATGAGCGATCGATTTGCGCCAGGATACCAAATGTATGGAGTACATGTACATGTACATGGAGTTAATGGACTTGGCTGTAGTGCTGTTTATTTGTAGTTTCGCGGAGCTACCACATCAGATAAACCTCTGGTCGCTGTATCTGGAGAGTGGAGAAAGCCATTGTGCAGACAAATTGGTCAAGAACAGATTTCCTGCCAATACTGCGTTCAATCATGATCTGCACAGAATTGACACTCTGAGGATTTGCAAAATTGCAGCGCGCTAACGCAGAGCAGCTATGCAATGCCGTATGCACCGTGTCCAGAGTACATTGTCATCCACATAGCATGGGCAATGTAGGGCCAGTGTATTTGTCGACTTTATAATTTCCAAATTACGCTTGCACAAGCATCCGATAAATAAACTGTCTGTTGATTGTGCAAATTGTATGAATGAATTACATGTGACGTGCGACACCAATTGCCCCGAAGTGCTGCACGCGCCGTATATGACTGGGAACAAGCTGTCCTTCTAAAGCTGATGATTCGCAGGACTGCTGCTGCCTTGGCCTGGCTGAAGCTTACATGTGTTGTTGCAATGGTGCAGCATACCTGTTAATTGGCTGCATGTATCCGGTCCCGCGGCGCAACATGCCCGGGTGCGGGTGCCGTCTCGGCTGAGTGCGTATGTTATTTTCTTGGATGCCTCATCTATATGGGGTAGATAACTGTAATCTCCTCCTGGTGATGCGTCTTTGTAGTACCCGTAGTCCAATTAGCTTCAGCCTGTGAAGGGTTACTTACATCTTTCGCATCTATTTCGACTAATTTGTATGCGTTGCTATGGTGGTTGCTATGGGCGTAATTTGAATTTGGCTAGATGGAATACCAAAAAAATTGGTCAAGTGATGGAAGCTCTCTATTGGCTATCATCTGTGAAAATTTAAAAGACCCTGAACGAAATTGAGTTTCACCTTGTTCTAGTTGGTTTTGAATTTCCCGGTTTTGTGCCACTGGCCTGCATCAAAACTGTTCCAGCAAAAGTGCCAACAAGCGCACTTCAAACGATCATAACTCTTGAACGTCTGGTCGGATTTAGACAAACCTTATAATATATTTCCCGGCTAGTGTATCCTACTCTTTCCAATGAGACTAAAATCGAGGAGATCGGAGCAACTTTCAAAATCGTCCGAACACCCTACTCACGGCTGTTAGCTGCACTTGGTCCTTCTTCGAGCTTCGATGATCGCGGCAGTTTTCTGCACGTGAACCATGAAAAATCAATGCATGCTCATGCATAACCAGTCAGCTGGCCTGCTCGCCCACGCATTTGACAGGTAACAATTCCATCAAATTTGAGATATCGCTTCGTTCTAAGTCTCAAAACAGTTCTAAAGTCACCAAACCACGCTGGTAATCGATGGCTATTCAATGTTAACATCTTCAGGAAGACTTCAGCCGTTTCCCGAGAGTTTGGGCATCGTTGCCGTTATTTTTCACGTTGTTCTTCTTCCTCCTGCCTGGAGCCGCAATTGCATCCTGGAATTATTTGAAAGGTATTTCGTGCGGTCTGTGGGGGGTTCCAACAGGCATAAACTGACATCGCTATAGGATAACTGGTAACTTTCACCCTTCAAGGAGGTAGAGCAATGAGAATTTTTTTGTGGCGGTCGTCGCTGTATTTGTGCACTTCCAAGGCTTTCATTCTGCCTGATAGTACTCTCTACTGTATTAGTCAGGGAGCCGACCTTCAAAAAAGTGGCGCTCCAGGTCGGGCGAGATGGAGTACAAGATCTCTTCAGCAATGGGTTATGGGTCTATCAGAGAAGGGCTTTCGAGTTCTTGGCCATCCCAAAGCTGTGCACGGACATCGCGAGGACGCATTTTGTTCGACGATCAAATTCACAATTGTCAAGCATTTAGGCGCAAATGTTTTTCGTTCTCAGCCGACTTCTCGCAGTCCGTGCGCCAAGCCTTGATTTGCCCGATTTTTATTTTTTTGCGGGAAAGGGTGATACAGGGTTTATGCAGGGAAAGATGACGACGCTCATGGCAGTTGAGGGAGAAATTTGCCTAATTTTTGGCAATTGATTTTGCTTCTCCTATCATATCACTGGGTTCCTAAGTCACCAATGTAGTGGGAAATGATGAGTTCTATCCTTTGCTGTGATGACGAGTGGGAATTTGAGGTCGTAACCTCAATGTACCTATTTTATTAGGAAGAAACTGTATTCCCTATTTTTCTAATTTCGTCGGCTCGAGTCGAGAAGTAGACGAATTGCAGCTGCCAGAAGCCGCGGACACGAGGCAGTCATTAGAAACCTCAGTAAGTACATAATTGTGTGCCCTGTGATAGAAATAGTCTGAGCATACCAGCACGGCTAAGCCGATGGCACTAATTGAAAGACTTTGTATATCATTTCGATAATTTTTATACATATTGTTGTCATGTGGAAAACGAGTATTCCAGCAGCCACTAAAAGTATACAAAGTGATAAAACGTATTCAGTTCTGGTGTCTGAACTATTGTAGTGCATTTGTGAACTGTTCTGAAATACCTCAGCTCTCAGAAACCATCAAAACGCACTTGGAAAACAGTTACAATATGTAGTTACGTGTGTGTGTGGGTTTAAAGTTGTACATACATACATGTACGTGCATTTCTGTCCACTAACATTGCTTGCGGTTGATCAAATCGTGCAGCTCCTTCAGGTCAACACCGAGAAATGAGGCCGGACCTTTGGCATTGGAAATAATTCACCCCAAAATGGGCATACATGAAACGGCAAAGCCATTAGTTAAAATTTCAAAACCTCAGCAAGCATAGAGATGGCAATGGTGTGAAATTGAACACTTCCAGACAGTTACACACAACATACAAGGTATGCTTGCAGACCAGTTGCAGATTTGAGGCTATTTTCAATCTGCGTGAACATGCATAACACAATTATGACATTATACACGCATCCAAATATGCATGCCGGTACATGTACTTGCATGCATACTTACACGTAGCTCAATTGCTGGAGGTGGTGGCGCTTGGCATGTTCTGGCAGTTGTGACACTTGCAACCTGGGCCACACAACCCATTTGCCTTCCTGCATTTGCATCTCCGTGTGTTGCAGCCAAATTTGCAGTGGCAGCCTTTGGTCAATGTGGCCACACGGTGATGAACAGCAGCCATGTGCTCCTCAGTGTCCCACTGCACCGATACTACTCCTTCACGCAGCAGCCAACCATGGTCTTCCAGGCGAGGGTACACAATGCTTGACGTTGGTGCCTGCTTCCAAACTTTCAGTACCCATTGCGAGCGCTTCCAGTGTAAGTTTAAGGCAGTTGTGGATGGAAGGCAGTCGTCCTCTGTATCCGTACGCTGCCACACTGCATCCCTAATTGCATTCAGCCATGCCTCGTGCTGCTTCATTTTTTCCTGATAAGCCATTTAAACAGAAAATTGAAGAGACATTGACACACGGAAAGAATGGAATGTTTGAAGCTAAGGATTCACTGTTTCTTCATTAACACTAAAGAAGAGCAGACCAGTCAAACAGGGAAAGGTTTAGTCTTTAAAGCGTACCTGGCTGCCGAACTGTTTGTACAGTGCGTATGGGCCGTTAGCATCAAATGCAGCCTTGTGCTTTTGATAGTACGTTGTGCCAACTAGACGTACAAATGCGAAGAAGCTGTCTTCGTTGTTTTCAGCCAACAACCCTGGTTCAACTCCACCTGCATTTTGGTCACATGGCAAAACACAAGTTCATTTTGCATAGTTAAAAAAGTGTTTGAGTCTATGTGCCGGTGTGTATTTGTTCACGCATATGTGTGTGTGTGTGTGTGTGTGTGTGTGTGTGTGTGTGTGTGTGTGTGTGTGTGTGTGTGTGTGTGTGTGTGTGTTCATGCATGTGTGTGTGTGTGAGTGTGTGTGTTTGTGTGTGTGTGTGTGTGTGCGTGCATGTGTGTGTGTGTGTTTGTGTGTGTGTGTGTATGTTTGTGTGTGTGCATGTGTTTGTGTGTGCATGTGTGTGTGTGTGTGTGTGTGTGTGTGCATGTGTGTGCGTGTGTGTGTGTGCACGGTGTGTGTGTGTGGGGGGGGGGGGGGGGGAATGGGTAGGTCAGCTCCAAACACTCATCTTACTACCACATGTACAAGTACTCTGGCAGCACACATGCAATTGAAAAACTCGATAACTGCACATGTTTACGCATTGTTGGCGGAGTAGACCATACCAGTGATACATGGTGGGTGCAATGGGCAGCTACTAAGTAGGAGACACTTAGTTTATGCATATCAGGCTCAATACGCTGCGCTCACCAGTTATGAATGTGGCGAACTGGAAGAATGCCTTGTAGAAGGAGCATTTGCCAAGGCCAGCAAAAAAGGAGACAAAATCACAGCCACTACAAACAAACAGTGCCTGCACGGCGGCAACGCGTACATCCTCGGGAACCTGCGCACAAACAAACATACATATGAACAAGCATATACTTGATAGGAAATGAGTAGCAGAGGCTGTGCATGCTGTGCATGACCTCGTTCTATCCCACCACTTTGTGCTGTGAACCCCATCCTGTCTCAAGCTAGTGAGCTAGGTACTGACCAAATTTGCAGCAAAACTACACAGTTATGGGTCAGTGAGTGATATTGTGCCATTTCACTTCTACACTTGAATCCGCCTGATACTTGCCCACAAGAGGCAGATTGAATGATGGGCATTTCCAGTACAAACTATGTGAATGAATTGGAACACAACGAATATGCTTATGTTGAATCATGCATTGGCATTACCTGAGACAAATCTGGGTCATTTCTGATGTTGCCAGCCAGCTTTGTCAGGCTCATGTACTTGTGCTGCATAGACCCTGGCATATCCAACTGCACGAATACTGAGCGATCACCAGTGTTGAGCCATTCCAATGCCATTCCAATATGATACACATCAGTGTCAGGGCTGTAGACAAGAACGCTGTCGAACTTGGAGGCATGCAGCCATATCCTGCAGGTTCATGTGCGTAAACAGGATATCCAAAGTTGCGTTGCATACAAATGAAATCCACTATATCTGTCACTAGTATTCATTAATTTGAGGGAGTTGCAAAGGGGGGTGATGAATATATTCTATAACTGGAATTGATAAGTATATGCCCTTTGGTTGAGTAATTTCTCCCCATATCCAGTTGTCATGCAAATGAAATCACCAGGACAATTGTGTGGTTTTGCCTATGGCTTACCTGTAATCAGCTTCCTCTGCATTTGATTCAAGGTCACGTACTGCAAAGCATGTTGTTGCGGATTTGATGCATCCTACTGCCAAGTTACCCATTTGGTTGGGAAGAGCTCCAGCCGTGACGAAACATTGATTTGGTGTAGCCATAACTCCACTAGCATTTCCCAGGCAATATTGAGAAATAAATGAGCACAGTGCTCGCTTGCACCGCCTACATCCAAGGAACTTTCGCCATGCTCTTGGGAGCGTAGTGGAAGTGGTGATTTCCTCAATGTGGTCATGGTCAACATCATTTCCGCCGGCTGCTGCATCCCTTGAGTCCTGCAGAATTGCTTTAGGACTGTCAGGTAGTGCTGTTCCATTGTCGAAGATGAAGTGGACACTGCCGACACTGCGTTTGTACCATGGGGCCGCCCATCTTTCCAAAACAAACTTGGCATAGTCACCGAACCCTTGATGCACAGCAAGTGGCGACGTGTTGATGATAAACATAGCGTCAATGATGACAGCTGTGTTTGTGGTTACGAAGCTGCTTGGTAAATGTGGCACAATGACATCACTGTATCTGTCTTGGTACTGCTTCGCTGCTGTGCTTTTGCTGCCTGTTCTAGGTTTAAGCCCGTCGCTAGTGAGCGATCTCGGTACTGGGATTAGTTGATCAGCGAGACCATCACTTGCTTCTTGCCTTTGTGTTTGGATCCATGTAAGTCGTTGCTTAAGACAATTTGTGACCAACTTGTGATCCTTCTCTTTCTGGTTTGTCGGTCGTTTACGCTTTGTGGCTGGTGCGAATGTGCGCAAATTCTGTTGACGGCGAGGTGGTAGACAGGTGGGAACTTTCATAATGCGACTTGTGACATAGGCTTCCAGCTCTGCTTGGCCAGTGGTGTAGAAGTTCAACATATCTGCTCGTTGACCTTCTGTGGCTAGTTTACCCGTGAAGACGTTGCTGAGCGGCCTGCTTGTGTCATGAGTCAGTAGCTCAGCCTTCTGTATGGCTCCAACTATGCTGTGTACATTGGCTGAAACGCTCCTTGCCCTTCTTTGTACCCGTTTTCTTGGCTGTTACTTCAGAATCATCATCTTCTCGCTCAGCAGGTACAACTTGCTTCTGGAGGTTGCGCAACAATTCAGCCCGATGTGGTAGGTAGTACGTTAATCGATCAATTGATGCCTCTTCAGGGTGGACCATGGACATTTTCATATCACGATTAATTTTCATTTCGTGAGCTTCGTCAATTGCCACAGAGTTGAAGTAGGACCCGTTTAGGCTGATTGAGAAGCTTCCGTTTTCCAGATGCTGACGGATACTTGGAGGAATACACTGTATATGTGCCAAGTGTTGTGGCACTAAGCGTAGGTATGTAGTCCGGTCAAGAGCGTGGAAGAGCGGTGCAGCCATCTTTATTGCAGCCACTCTGCGCTGCCAATTCCCTCCGCGAATGGCAGACCACAAAGCTACATACGCAAACATATCACGGAAGTAAAAGTTTGCCCATAGCTTCCAAACCTCATCAGTGCTGGTGTTCGAGAACTCCTCCAGTCTTTCCATTGTTGGGGAAGTAACATTAGTTGACGGGTGTTGGGTTTTGTAGGCTTCTAGCATACTGCGACCAATGGCCTCATGGGCCCACAGCAGGAAATCATGAGTTTTGCGGAAGGTTGAACATCTCTCCACCGCACTGAGTGCCTCCCCCTTTATACTCATGGCTTTCGCCATAGAATTCAGTCCCGCATCCCAGTACACCTTCATGATGATCGGCTGTATAGCCTTCAGCATGTGCCAGTCCCCTGGGAAGGGAACAAGCCAAGACAAGGTTTTGCCGTATTCTTGGCGTAGCTTGAGGAGAATGTCGTATGTTTTCCCGTCTCCAACCACAAGGAGATGTTGCTGACGTGTGCCGATGCCATACGTACCGTAGAGATCATTCAATATGGACTTGATTGTCTCCCTGTTGTCTGCAGGCTTGTCGAGTATACCAAGATAGACAACGTTTGCAGCCTCCGGTTGTTCACCACCTTGCTCCTGCACGAAGTCCTTCAGGCTGTCAGTGCCATCGGTTTCGGAAAGGTGAGCAAAAGCTTCACTCTTTACTTCCTTAATGCACTTCTCATCGTTGTCTGTGATAACAAAGTTGCTCAGGCTTAGGTTGATGTGGGTCGTACCAGTCCTGAACACCATCCTGAATGCTTGTGTCTGGAGTGGGCAGATTCTCTGAGTTATGGCACATGACTTGTGTTGTCACGGTGCACTGTGCTGTAGTATGCGCCTGGGCCATTGCAGTCACGGTCTCACTTTCTTGCTGTTGCACAGTAACTTCAGGGGTGACGCTGGAATCAATGAATACATCATTCTGTAGTCTATTGGTCCTAGGTGTCTCTCGTTGTGTTCTTATCCGTGCACGCTTGCAAGGTGGCTCTTGGATGCTGTCATTTGACTCAAAGCATGTGAAAGGAAGCACTTTGCTTGGCTCAACTTCCGGTTGTTCGGTGTGCATGGCAGCTTTAGGTTGTGGGTTAATGTGCTGTACCGATGTGCCGTGGAATCCCCGCTTGGCATCATTACAATACATTCGTTTCCACTTCATATCCTTATCGATATTGTCTATCGATGCGCAGCACAAGCTGTTGAGCATGAGCTCATTCTGAATGCCGCGCTCCTGCCGCTGCTTGATGATGGTCATCTTGTACCGGTCGTAAGTATCCCTTCCCGCTGTAATACCGAACCGTGACAGTGTGGCGAGAAGGGTCGTCGAATGACTGTATGTTTCCACTACATCTGCTAACACCAGCTGCAGTGGAAACACACACTGAGGCTTCGCAGCATGCAGCAAGGACGACAAAACGTGTATTGCCCTAAGACATTTAGTTTGCCGTTGCGTTTCAAGTGGCATTGCCGTTGGGATTTGTGCCCTTCGCCATAAAGTACCACCCAAATCCAAGACCACAGATGTGGATGCACCGACTGTATGACCTTGTCGAAGTTTAGTTTGTTTAAAGCTGTGCCGTCCTCAAACTCCTTTCCGATAAAGTCACCAGCCTGTGCCCTGATCATCATGTGTACCTGCTCCGCCATTGCCGAAACTCCATTTTCTGATTCTGTCCTGTTGTTTACTACAGGTATGTCCGTGGCAAGCTTGTCGTGTGACATTGCTGCGCATCGCTGGGCGGAAAGAGCATCATGCAAGGCCTGTTGCGTGTTGCACCCTCTCCGTAGCAACAGGATACCACGTTTTTTCACATTCGGGTATACAACTTCAATGTGCTCTGCCAACACTTCCATTATCCGGCTGAGAAGCCATTTTGCTGGTTTGTGTGAGCCTGTGGCAGCGTGGTGCATGAAGTGGTCGTGCAGTGTGACCAACAAAACTGCACTCTTTGAGAGGAGTTGCTCTCCAGCAAGCACGAGTGTTGCTGCTAGAGCCGTGTGTATGCCCCGCTGTGCTATAACAATGGCATTCAATTGGTAATCAGTGCTTGCGTAGCCGTCTACTGTAACCAAGGCCAGGTGTGCCTTGTAGCACTTGGTACAGTAGACGGCGTCCTCTGAAACAGTGATGCCCTCATCCTTCAGCTTTGCTGCCACAACCTGGTAATTTGCAGCCTTCCGCAATGGCTCTAGCTCCATTGGCGCATGGCAATCGCCACAGTGGTGCTTACGGCCGCTGGTCAGCTGGCTATAGTGCTTGGAGCACACCACTGCATCCTTCATGTCCTGCCCATCCTGCAACGGCAGCGAGTCAGTTTGTGTGGGTGGATAGTGTGTAATTGCATCGGCATCGCAATCTGCCACGGAGCATTGCCGGTGCCGGACGGGTGGTGTGTCCACACTGCTGCTGCTGCTGCTGTTGGTGTTGCTGTTGGTGGTGGTGGTGCTGCTGCTGCTGCTGCTGCGTGTAAGGGATTTCTTGCAAGGCCAGCAAATACATGCATGGCCCTGCAAGTCCTGTGCATGCGGGTACCTGTCAGTTGCCCAGGGTGCAGTGATTAATTGTTGCCAGTTGCTGATTGACGTGTTGTGGGTGTACTTCCCGTCAAGTGCATTCACTCCACATATGCCACAGGGACCACATGAACGCTCGGGGTGGAGGTCTGCAGCATGGCTGCGCCTACCAGGCATGGTGTTTCAAGTCTAAAAACATGTAGAAAATATAGAAAAAATAGGGTATATGAAATTGGCTGTCCTGAAAGTATGGTAGCCCGGACACGAACGAACTCCGGGATGTGAGAAGAGGAAGACTTACTGCGCCCCAGACTGGGAAGTATGTCACGGTGAAGCCACGGCTAAGGTCATGGCACTAAATGAAACTTTTGAAAACAAGAATCTCGTCGAAATGGCAGTCTGGATAAGAAGGCGAAAAAAGGATCTTCATAAGCACTGGGCAAACTTTGAACGTCAATTTAGGGAAGAAATATACCTAATAAGGATAAATTTCGGCAAAGGCTGATGCGATACGAAGGAATAGCTCAGTAAAACAGAAAGTTCACGGGCTGTCAATGGACGTCAAGGTATGCCTTTCACACGATCTTCTCTCTCAACACTCAAATTTCGCGCCGCGCGGAAAATAAAAGTCACGGAAAAAGAAGGTTTTTTTGAATCTGGCGATCGGACTGCTCGGTTTGAGAAGTAGGTGCGCACGCTCAAAATTCCAAATCAGTGACTATGCGCCTGTCCAGAAGATGACGACGCTGCAAGCTTACTTTCTCAAAGCGTGACATACATTTTCATTCCGATTTTGGCTTTGAAAGTGAGAATAGTATTGCCATCGTCAGGTCCACTAGTCACGAAGCATGGCGCTTCTGGACAAAAGCGCAACATAGAGTGTGTACCAGCAATAGTGCACAATAATACTCGCGCCTACTCCGGCAATTCTGCAACGCGTGCAAGCAAAGTTTCAAAAGTATATTTCCAGGTCTGACTGAGGTCGAGTCGAGCGAAGATTCCGGCAGAGTAGGCGAGATGTTGCTTGCTGACAAGTCGGCCTCCGCGTCCCTGAGTCCTGACTGCCAGTGCCACAGCCGTATGCACCAGTCACTGAGTGACCAGTCACCGGACGTGCAAGATCATCATCACCCATGTCGGTACTCTGCCTGGCCTATTTATCTGCTGGTGGTGTCAACTCCGTTGCAGTTTGCCAGCTTGTTTGTTCCGGTACTCGTTCTTCACTGGTTCAGGTGAGCCTAGCTGCTTTCGCACAAAATACTTTGTGGATCCTGTGAGAGATCATGTAACTCGAAAACGAGACGTTGTTTGAAACAAAGGTAGAATGACAATCACTGCCAGTTCCACATGCACTTCTGACAGGAACTACGACAGACGTCTACGTGGCAGCACCAAAGGAGAGCATGGGATAGGCAACATAACAAGATAGAACATACATGCGCGCACGTGCATGTGTGCGAGCTTGTGTACACGCGCGCACGCCCACACACGCGCGCACGCCCACACACGCTTGCAAGCGTGTACTCACATGTGTGCGAGTGTGCATGAGTGCACACACACGCACACACATGTGACTCTCTGTTCGCACACACACACACACATACATGTGTGCGAACATGCGCGCATTCATCACACAGGTGGATGCGCACATGCCAATGCTCACACACACACACACGTGTACATGTGCACGCACACACACGCGTGCGCGCTTGCACGCACATACACACAGGTGGATGCGCACATGCAAATGCTCACACACACACATACACGCATACACATGTACATGTGCACGACACACGCGCGAGCGCACACGCAGGTGGATGCGCGCACGCCCACACACGCGGGCAAGCGTGTACTCACATGTGTGCGAGTGTGCATGAGTGCACACACACACATGTGACTCTCTGTTCGCACACACACACACATACATGTGTGCGAACATGCGCGCATTCATCACACACGCGTGCGCACATACACACAGGTGGATGCGCACATGCCAATGCTCACACACACGCATACACGTGTACATGTGCACGCACACACGCGCGTGCACGCTTGCCCGCACATACACACAGGTGGATGCGCACATGCAAATGCTCACACACACATACACGCATACACATGTACATGTGCACGACACACGCACGCGCGCACACACAGGTGGATGCGCACGTGCATGTGTGCGAGCTTGTGTACACGCGCGCACGCCCACACACGCGCGCTAGCGTGTACTCACATGTGTGCGAGTGTGCATGAGTGCACACACACGCACATGTGACTCTCTGTTCGCACACACACACACATACATGTGTGCGAACATGCGCGCATTCATCACACACGCGCGTGCGCACATACACACAGGCACATGCCAATGCTCACACACACATACACGTGTACATGTGCACGCACACACACGCGTACGCGCTTGCACGCACATACACACAGGTGGATGCGCACATGCAAATGCTCACACACACATACACGCATACACATGTACATGTGCACGACACACGCGCGCGCACACACAGGTGGATGCGCACATGCAAATGCTCACACACACACCCGCATACACGTGTACATGTGCACCACACACGCGCGCGCACGCGCGCGCGCACACACACACGTGGATGCGCACATGCAGATGCTCACACGCATACATACATATAAACACACACACTCATGCACGCGCGCGTCATTATCTACGAATCTCAGAAACATGCAACACGCGGCCAGAAGTTAATCATCACCAGTGAACTTGCTGTGATTGTGGTACCAACAACATGCTGTGCAAGAACGTCACCATCATCGGCTGCTCTGAGGTAGCATTCCAGAATGGCAATTTACAAAGCCGCTGTCTAGTGCCCTACTATCATCTCCACGGAGCAGCAGTCAGAACCCAGGAAATAACTGCTCGGCATAGCTGCAAACATCGCAAAGGTTACAGCACTGGATGCTTCTAGTGCAACGGGTCACCCCAACTCTGTACTATACTTGCTGGTGCATGTCCGAATGTGACAACCCAATCATTAGCGCCCATGTTCTGGACCGTCACTAACGCTTCCGCCCAGGGCCTTATTACGGGCTTTTACGGTACTCGCCGATGCATGTCCGAATGTGGCAACCCGCTCAGCAGCACTACACATGTGAGCAACAAGTGGACGTCGTTGGCAGCACAGAGCAGAGGATCGCAAACCGGATGAAGAATGGATACTGTTCTCCATGATGAAGGGATCAAAAACCGTTCAACACAGATATTGCGCTACATCATCTTGCCTGGATGTATGCGGTGGTGCCGATGCATATCGCGTCCATGACACTGTTTACATATCTGCATTCAGCCTTTGTTCACATAAATATGATGCACCGTAGCTGTAGTTTTAAAATGATTATATTCTACATGTTACCGCCACATTTACTGATTGCGTTTGCGGAAATTCCTAAAATATATTACGTCTACTACCACACAAAGGACTGAATGAAGTAGGGAAATAATCATCCCATGATCTTCTACAATGTGAATGCTTCCACGTACGCGCATGTCATTGTGCAGCATCCGAAACTTCAACAAAACAATGATTCAAAGAGACGTTATTCAAGATAAGTAATGCATTTCTACGTTCACTGGTATAATCAAAGATTCCGTTCAAGGCAGCTGCCATGGTGTGTACCTTACCACCTTTAACACACGTTGTCAGTCCGCTCATTGACTAGCATGAAATCGTTTGTAGCAGGAGTACTCTTGTTTGTAGTGAGGATCAATCTACAAAACACTATTGGTAAAAACAATCCAGAGTCACCTCGATGGAGACGGACAGTTCCTACGAGACCTGCCTGTCGACATCAGGGTCAAGTGGCAAGTCATTTAGCCGTTACGCACGACAATCTCAGGAACACCAGTCATGTCCTCCTCCGACGAACCAGCTACTGTATGTTACTTCAGAACTCAGAACGACACAATTATACAAACAGAATGAAAAATGCTTCATCGACGGTGTGACTTTGCGTTTCGCTTCGTGTTTCTTTGTGTTTCTCTTGAAAATCTAGCAAAATTGAGTCATTCGCATGAAAATGTCTGGTTACGTCAGCGAAACCCGCTGATTTTCCCCATTTTTCAAGCGCTGAATGGCGCAAAAACTGTGAAATCACGGCAACGAAATAGTGTTCGACGAGCGAACAAACCTCCTTGCACCGGCATTGGTGCACAGCTTCGGGACGGCCAAGTTCTCAAATCGTCCTCTAGAGACCCTTACCTACCTCTGTGCGAAGTTTCAAGTCCTCCCTCTGAAGTGGCATACCCCGAAAATAAAAAGCATCCTACAGATTTCAGCTCCCGGACTATATG